ACCCAAAAACTTCCTCCTTTCACCCAAAAACCGGGACAGCTGCTGCCTCTTCCCGTGACTCAGCCTCTGGAATTCAATCCCACCCCTGACTTGAACAGTAATTAATAAATATTAACAATTCCTGGGCTTATCAAGGACCCAACCAGTGCCTCTGGGCGGGTTCAATACCGGAGCACAACAGCCCCGGCTGCTCCAGAGGGGCTTTTTTTGGGGTGTTTTCCCCAATTCCCGGAATTATTTGAGCTCTCCGAGGTGGCAGCTGCCAGGAGAAGTTGCTGCCTGACCTCGTTGGCCATTGGCCCCTCTATAAAAATAGACCTGGCTTAAAAATAACTCCCTGACCCCCCGCCCTGACCGAGCCGGCCCCACCGCAGGGTCCCACCCGGGGGGATCCCGACTCCTCCCCGGAGGCCACGTTTGTCCACCGTGAAATTGGGGAATTGTTGGGCAAGCGGGGCTTGGAAGAACACCCAGAGGCTGGAAAGGCCGTTGGAGAGCAGCGAGGAGCCCCCGCGGAGCTCCGGGAGCGATTCCAAGCGGGAACGGGGAAGGGGGAGCGGCTGGTTTTTGCCAGAGGGTCAGAGGGAGCCGAGCCCGGAACAGAGGAGCCTTTCAGAGCTCCCAGAGCCCCAGAAGGGCTTTATTCTCCGGGATTTTGGCTGGGGTTATTCCCAGAGGAAACAGCTCCTCAAAGGAGCTGGCACAGGCCTCGGGAATAGCGGGACATCCTCGGGTTTTGGGGTTAAAAACCGCGGAACTGAGTGTGGAGGTGGGGGAATCCCGGGAGATGGGGGGGGAGGGCTCAGTGCTCCCAGATGGAATTTTTGGGGGAATCCCCCTCCCTGTGAGCTGGGGAGGGGGGGGGCGGGAAATGGCCAGAGCTCCAAATCCTTGGGAATCCTTGTGAATAAAGGCACATCCTTGTTTTAGGGGACCTAAAATCCATGGAACTAAGGGCAGCAGTGGAATCCCAGGAGATGGGAGTTGCTGGAGACTCTGCCCCCACCTCAGACCCCACATTTTGGGGGGATCCCCCCTCCCTGGGAGTGTGGGGGCATCACCCCGTGACTGCATCCCAGAACATCCTGGAGCATCCTGGAGCACCCTGGGCTGGGGGGGACTGGGGAGGGGTCAGAGGGTTCATGAGGGACAGGGGGGTCAAGGGGGTCGGGGGGCTCAGCGGCAGGGTCATGGGGGTCAGATTTGGGGAGGTCAAGGGGAGTCAGAGTCAGTGGTGTGTCACGGGGGGTCAGGGGAGTCAGAGGGGGGTCGGGGGAGATCAGGGTCGAGATGGGGGTGTCAGGGTGGGTCAGAGGGGGGTGAGGGTCGAGACGGGGTTCGGAGTGGGGTTCGGTGAATCGGAGGGGGGTCAGGGTCAGGGGTGTGTCGTGGGGGGGGTCAGAGGGGGTTTGGGCGTTGTGACATGGGGGGCCCGGGGGGGGTTAGAATTGAGATGGGGGGCCAGGGGAGGTCAGAGAGGGGTCGGGGTGGGGGTCAGGTCGAAGGACACCGCACACCCCCCTCGCCCCGTGCCCCCCGACTCACAAGAGGTCCCGGGGCGCCGTCCGCACGATGAGCCGCAGCAGCCGCCACCCGCCGCCGCCCAGGCACAGCCCCAGCGAGGCCGCCATGCTCCAGGGCCACGGGGCCCCCAAGAGCCGCAGCAGCCCCAGAGAGCCCAGGGAGGCCGCGCAGAGCCCCGCGGGGTGCATGGCTGGGAACGGGATCCGGGACCGGGGTCTGCGATCGGGGACCGGGATCAGGGACGGGGACCCAGGATCAGGGACCGGGATCAGGGACGGGGGTCTGCCATCGGGGACAGGGACCCAGGATCAGGGACCGGGCTCCAGGGGATGGGACCGGGATCAGGGACGGGGGTCCGGGGGTCGGTCCGGGATTCAGGGAAGGTCGGTCTGGGGCTCCGGGGGATCAGGCCGGGGCTCAGAGGGGTCGTTCCGGGGCTCCGGGGGTCGGGCCAGGGCTCCCCCGCTGCCGGTGCTCCGGGGGCCGGGCCGGGCCGGGCCTCACCGCGGGATCTGGGGGTGGGTCCGGGGCTGAGGGGGGGCCGCTCCGGGGCTCCGGGGCCGTTCCGGGACCTCCCAGGGCCCTCCCGGTCCCCCTTTCCCGGCGCTGCCGCCGTTACCGGAGCCGCCACCGCCTCAGACGCGGCCCCGCCCACGAGGGGCGGGGCGGAGGGAGGGGCGCGATCCTATTGGTTGGCAGCGCAGCTGCCGGCAGTAGATTGGCTGAGGCGAGGAGGGAGGGGAGGAGGGGAGATGGGAGGGGCCTGACGGGAGAGGGGCGGGTCCGGGTGGGAGGAGGGCGGGGTCTGGAGGAGCCACGCCCACACGCAGTGACGGTGGGGGGGACTGGGGGACCCCCCAAAACTGGTCCCCAGGACCCCCAAAACTGGACTCACATGGACCAGGACCCCATAACTGGGACTCCATGGACCTCAGGACCCCCACTACTGGAACCCCTCAGCCCCAGGACACCCATCATTGGGACCCGACAACCAAGAGCCCTCAGCCTTGAGACCCCCACAGCCATGGGGATCTACACGACCGACACCCCCGGGACCCCCATAACCCCCACAGACCCAAGGACCCCCAAAACCAGGATCCCCACAACCAGACCCCCACGACCATGGGCACCTACACAACCAAGACCCCTCCGCCGTGAGACCCCGCAGCCTAGACCCAACATTCCCAGCACCGCCCACACCCCCACAACCCCAAACACTCCCCCCTTGACCCCAGGACGCCCCCGCCTCATCTCCCAGCCCCTCCCATTTAATCCGATCACGGGAATCCTCCCTGCTAATCCCGGGATCGCGGCGGGGGCAGCAGAGGCGCCCCGGGGGGCTCCATCCCCCTTCTCCCGCTGCTCCGCGTCCCGATCCGTCACCTCCTCTCCTCCCCGAGCCTTCCTCCCCTTGCCATGTCCGCGCTCTTCGCCGGGAAGGTGCTGAAGGCGAACCGGGAGGAGGACGAGCTGGACACGGAGCGGGAGCTGCGCGGGGCGCTGGACAACAAAGTGCTGCTGCTCTACTTCGGCTCGGGGCAGTGCCCGCGCTGCCGGGACTTCGCGCCGCTGCTCAAGGACTTCTTCCAGCGCCTCACCGACGAGTTCTACGTGGAGCGCTCCCGCCAGCTCGTCCTGGTCTACGTGTCCCGCGACGAGACGGAGGAGCAGCAGAGCGCCTTCCTGCGCTCCATGCCCCGCCGCTGGCTCGCGCTGCCCTTCGGGGACACCTTCGGCAGGTACGGCCGGGCCACGGGGGGGGCCCGCACCCGCGGGTGGCTTGGGGGGTCGAGGGTCTTGTCTGGGGGTCGAGGGTCTTGTCTGGGGGTCGAGGGTCTTGTAAGACTGGAGAGGTCGGTGTGGGGTGTGACTGGGAACCCCGCGGAGCCCCTTGGCTGCACCTGCTGGAAATATTTTAATTATAATATATGTCATATAATCTAGTCTAATCTGTGTCATAATGTCATATAATGTCATCATATGTAATATATAATATATATATAATATATATATATAATATTATATGTAAATATAACACTAATGCCATTATATGTCATATTGTATATAAATATAATGTCATTGTATATAATATTATATATAAATATCATGTCACTATATATCATAATGTTATACATACATATTTTATATATATAGATATATTTATACATATATATCTAAACAGGACCTCACAGCTCTGGGACCCCCCAACTGGGACCCCACAGCCCCAGGACCCCAAAAACTGGGTTCCCACAGCCCCAGGACCCCCAAAACCAAGGAGGTTTAATTTAAAATACATAAAATATTCCCGCTGTTCCTGTATCCCGATTTTCCATTCTATTCATAAGTCCCAAACATTGCAGGCCGGGCCCCAGAGCCCTGGATTGGGATGTGGCCGGATTGGAACCAATTACTGTAACCTCGTTAGCGCAGAACGAGCCTAATTAACACCCAGAATGATCCCCAGCTCTTTTGGAGGATAAACTGCAGGAGGTTGGAATTTGAAGCCTCTTGTTGATGTTTAATGGCTGGAAAAACAGGACCTGGGAGTTGAATCCCATCTCCCAACACCCAAATCCCATGTCCCAACACCCAAATCCCATGTCCCAACACCCAAATCCCATCTCCCAACACCCAAATCCCATCTCCCAACACCCAAATCCCATCTCCCAACACCCAAATCCCATCTCCCAACACCCAAATCCCATCTCCCAACACCCAAATCCCATCTCCCAACACCCAAATCCCATCTCCCATCCCCTCTTATTTCCCATCCCCCAAATCCCATCTCTCCTTACCCAAACCCCACATGCCACCCCTTCCCACCCCCTCTTCCACCTCCATCCAGTGCCAATTCCCATGGGACCCCCCAGCCCATTCCCATTCCCACTCCCATTCCCACTCCCATTCCCATTCCCATTCCCACTCCCATTCCCATTCCCATTCCCATTCCCACTCCCACTCCCATTCCCACTCCCATTCCCACTCCCACTCCCATTCCCACTCCCACTCCCATTCCCATTCCCACTCCCATTCCCATTCCCACTCCCACTCCCATTCCCATTCCCACTCCCATTCCCACTCCCACTCCCACTCCCATTCCCACTCCCACTCCCATTCCCATTCCCATTCCCATTCCCACTCCCACTCCCATTCCCATTCCCACTCCCATTCCCACTCCCATTCCCACTCCCACTCCCACTCCCATTCCCACTCCCACTCCCATTCCCACTCCCATTCCCACTCCCACTCCCATTCCCACTCCATTCCCATTCCCATTCCCATATCCCACTCTCCCATTCCCACTCCCCTCCCATTCCCATTCCCCTTCCCACTCCCCTCCCCATCCCACATCCCCCACTCCCCATCCCACCCACTCCCATGCCCCTCCCAGTTCCCACTCCCCATCCCATCCGCACTCCCACTCCCATTCCCACTCCCATTCCCACTCCCACTCCCACTCCCATTCCCATTCCCACTCCCACTCCCACTCCCACTCCCATTCCCACTCCCATTCCGTTCCCGTTGCCGGCAGGGAGCTGGAGCTGCGCTTCGCCGTGTCCGAGGTGCCGGCCGTGGTGGTGCTGAAGCCCAGCGGGGACGTGCTGGTGGCCAACGCCGTGGAGGAGATCCAGAGGATGGGCCCCAAGTGCTTCCAGAACTGGCAGGAGGCCGCCGAGATCCTGGACCGGAATTTCCGCCTGGCCGAGGATTTCGACAACCACGCCCGGAGGAGCCTCACGCACCCCCTGCGCCGGCTCAAGTACAAGCTGGACAAGGACAGGGACAGGGAAGAGGGGGAGGAAGAAGGGGAGGAAGACCCTTAAGCAGCTCCAAGAGCTCGTGGGATCAGTGGGATGGCTCCCACATCCAGTTTCTCCCACCTGGAAAATCACTGTAATTAAGATATTCCGACCCGGAGTGGGATGTATTTCCTTATGTCATCCCGGAATCTGGCGCCGGAAAAATCTTGCCAGGGTATCTCAGGCATTAATTTGCCAGAGTTGGGATTAAAAGTAACGTTTTTGTTGTCTGTTTACCAAAAAAGGGGAGAAGAAAAGTGATTCCTAGAGACCAGAATTTAGGGAGTGACTGTAAACAGCTCAAAAACTGGGAATTGCATTAAAAATGCCCAAGGGAGGTGGTGGAGGGTCCCGGGGTCCCGATGTGATTCCAACCCCAAACGATGGGGCATCACCTTGGAACTGCTGCTCCTGCCTCCTGCTCTCCCTGGGGGATAACTCCCTTCCTTCCCGTTGGATTAGGAGGAGCCACACGGAGGGGCCCCCAGGCCATCCCTGCTGCAAAATAACCCCCCCGCCCTGTTTTCCTCCTGGAGAGGCTGGAATAGCCACCAAGAGTGTCCAGGGATGTTATCCCACCCAAATCCATGCCCGGGGTGGTTACCAGGGGGAGCGGAGTGTTGGCTTCGTCCCTTTCCAACAACATCCTCAGCTGGTTTTCCATCTCATCCCACGATCGATCGAAGGTGACGAGATCCCAGGTTCAGGTTTCCCTTCAGGCCCCAATTTAAGGTGTTTCCAACAATACTTGAATTAGAGTGTCCCAAACAGCCGAGCCTGGGGAAGGAGAAAGGGGAAGAGAGAAGTTTTCCAGGTCCTTCATGATTTTTTTGGGATTCCAAACGGTTGTTAACTCGTTGGAGGAAAAGCAAAACCCTGCTGTGGGCTGGGATTCCTTCCCCATCCCTTTGTTTTAAGGGATTCTTTGATGGTCTGGGCTCCCACCAGCTCTGCTCCGGAGCTGGCACTGATCCAGCAGCCGGGGGTGTGATGGAATTCCTGCATTTTTAAAGGTTCCTGGATGTGCTTCTCCCATCCCTGGGAGCTGGGGGGTTGTGGGATTGGGCTCCTCTGAGCGGGTTTGGGAACCTCTGAGCCAGCTGGGACTCAGGAAGGATTCATTGGAGCAATTTTGGGGGGCTGCTGATGACATTGGGATGACATGACTCCTTCCAGGAGGTTTCTAAACATTCCTGGGATTCCAAAAAAGCAGCCAAAAAACCAACCCTTCGGATGATCATTGGGGGGGGAGCAGTGGCAGCCGAGAGGGTTAAAGGAAAATGTTGCCTTTAGGGCTCGTTTGGGAACGCAAAATCCACTCAAACAATTAAAACCCCCCTTGGAAAGGAGAAGTGGAAGAAAGGGGAGGGGACAGATGTTTTCCTTGGAAGTGTTTCCCTGCCGAGGCTCTGCTGGGCACCAGGACGTGGCCGGGTTGGGATCAGGTTACTCCGTGACCCGGCTTGGGGGGGACAACGCCAGGACACCCCGGGAGACCCTTTGGAATGGGGGAGGAACAGGAAAACTCCTGGAGGGATGGAGGGGACGGGGGGAGAAGAGGGGCTGGACTGGTGGCTGTCGGGGCTCCGCAGTCCCGTCCCTGTTCAGCATCCAGTGCTCCATCCCAGGGGGGGTGTTGTGGATCCCTGTCTCCATCCCTTTGTCCTGGGCTCTCCGTGACCTCCTCCCTGTGGATCCCTGTCCTTGTGTCTGTCCCTGTCCCTGGGGATCCCTGTCTCCATCCCTTTGTCCTGACCTCCTCCCTGGGGATCCCTGTCCCTTGGATCCCTGTCCCTTGGATCCCTGTCCCAGTGTCCATCCCTTTGTCCCGGGCTGTCCCCATCTCCCAGGGCAGGTCCTGCTCTCCCGGTGTCCCTGGCAGCAGGTCAGGGCTGTTCCTGACGATAACATCGTTCCCAGGGAAGCAGACAAGGGAGGAGGAGGAGGATCCTGACCTGATGGTCCAGTTGGGATGTGAGGGGCTGAATCCTCATGGTCCAGCTGGAATGTGGGGTTGAATCTGACCCTCTGGTCCACTCAGAAGGAGGGGGTCTGGATTCTGACCCCATGCTCCAGTTGGAATGTGGGGGGGTTGGATCCTGACTTAGTGGCCCACTGGAAATGGGGGGGCGAGGGGGCTGGATCCTGACTGATGGTCCAGTTGGGATACGGGGGCTGGATCCTGATCCAAAGATCCACCCGGGATGTGGGGGGCTGGATCCCGACCCGACGCGCCCCCCGAGCTGCGGGTGCTGTCGGTGCCCGGGTGCTCCGGTGCCTCCCCCGGGATCCTCGGGCAGCCCTGCTCCCCGGCCGGGGCTCCCCAGTGCGGCGGCGGCACTGGGACCAGTTGCCGGGCGGGTCCTGGCGCCGCTCCCGCCCCGGGACCGGTCCTGCGGGGCGATGCGGCCGCCGCGGAGCCACCTCGATCCAGCCGCGGCCGGAGGCTCTCGGGAAGCGCTTTTGGGGCTCCGAGGAGGCGCCGAGGGTTCGGATTTCGGCTCCCGGGGCCCGCAGGACCCGCCCAGGGGAGGATCCGAGGAGGCCGCGGCTCCTCCGCAGCCGCACAAGTCGCCTCCCAGGAGCTTCTCCCCGCGATGGACTCCGCGGCTCAAACTTTCCTGTGAGGCGCTCGGGGGGGGGAGAGGGGGTTATTGCCCGGCTTGGGAAGCGGCTCTGCCCTCCAGGAGATGGGGATCCCCTCGCAGGATCGCCGCCCTGGCTCCCCGAGGCGCCGAGGTCGATGCTGAGCGCCGGGTTTGGAGGCGGCGTTGAGTTCCCAGGTAAGATTTTCCTCTCGGGAGTAAAAATGCTCTTCCAGGCTTAAAAAATGGAGCGGCGGTTGGAGCGGTTGGCTCGAAAGCCGTGGGTAAAACAGGTTGGATGTGAGCCCCGGGAGCCTTTACGGATCCATTGTTCCGCCTCGATCGGCGCTGATTGTGGTTATTAAGTGGGAGCCGAATTCCAAGCCATTCATCCCCGCTCCATGCGCGGCTGCGGGGCTGGCAACAAGTGGCGGATGCCTTCCCAGACCCTGGAGTTAAGTGCTTCCCCGGGAGGAACTGGAATTACCCAGGAATTAAAAAGGAATCACACCTTTACCGCGGCGCGGAGGACTCCTGAACTCGCCGCGAACTCGAGCTGTGGAGGGCGAGAAATCCCAGAGGAGACACGACGTGTCCTGCCCTCCTTTCCAGCCGGCTCCTGCCCCCCTGGAAGAGCCGCGCTTGGATGGCGGGGGGAGCCGGGCGGTGTTTGCCGATTGCTCAAGGCGAAGGGGCCGTGAGCGGGCGCAGCTCGGAGCCAGCCGCTCGTTTTACCGAGTAAACAAAGCTGGAGAGCCCGGACCTCGCGCCGGGCAGAGCCGAGCGGAGCCCGGGGGGTTGCTCGGACACCGAACAATAGACTCATCCAGCTCCTTTGTGCATCATGGCCCCAGCCCCGGCTCGGCTCTGCTGCTCCTCGGGCTCTTTTCTCACCCCCCTCCCGGGCGATGGGGATTTCTGGCCCCGGCCGTCCTTGGTGCCGAGCCCCAAGGTCGGGCGGTAATTGCAGGGTGGCAGCGGAGCTCCCGGAGCCGCTCACGGGCGTTGTTAACCTGTCGCTCCCTGCTCTGCAACACCCCGAGCGGGGCGGGCTCCGAGCCCTCGGCACGTTCCGGAGGGATTTGGGGCGCTCCGAGTTTTCCCCGCGCTCCAAGTCCTGCCCAGAGAAGCGGGTTTGGGTGTTGGCATCAGCGTGGGCGCTCCGGATTTGTGTGTGATGCCGGGGCTTGGAGGGGGTTTGTGAGATTCACCCGGGCAGGGAGTGACAGGACAAGGGGGGAAGGGATTTGAACTAAAAGAGGAAAGATTTAGGTGGATTCCCTGTGAGAATGGGGAGGAGCTGGGATGGAATTCCCAGAGACGCTGGGGCTGCCCCATTCCTGGAAGTGTCCAAGGCCAGGTTGGAGCAACCTGAGATAGTGAAAGGTGTCCCTGCCCGTGCCAGGGCGTGGAACGAGGTGACCTTAAAATGTCCCCTCCCACCCAAACCGTTCATGATTCTGTGACTTCCTGAACTCCAGCGATTTGGGGCTGTTGCACATTGAGAGGAAGCTGTTCTGCATGTGAATGGCCCGGCCTTGATCCCGTACCTGCCCGGGAACACCCTGGGAAGGTGCTCATCAGCCTGCCGTGATTCACAGCGTTCCTCCTCTCCCAGGGCTTTCCTCCCCTCCTCGTCCTTCCTCCAGCTCCCCGCATTCCAGCCAGAACGCTCCCGGTTACCTGCCAGGCCACCGCAGGCTCCTTCCGTCCCTCCCATTCCATCGGGACCGCGCGACTCCCGCTCGGCTCCGGGTCCACAAACATCCCACGAGCTGAGGAAAAGAGGGAAGACGGGCTTGCTACACAGGCCCAGCCCACCTAAAATCCCCCCCCGGGGCAGCCTGACTCCTCCCCTCCCCTTTTCCTTCTCCCCCCCCCCCCAATGTTTATGAAAGGCGATATTTCCCCGCTCAGCAGCTTTCTGAGTGGCCCATCCCGGGTGTCCAGCTCTCCCCTCGGGGGGTGTCGGAGGAGGCAGCGGGATCAAAAGTTCAGCTGCAGGTACAATGGGGTTTTCTTGGCTCGGCTCCTTGTTTGCACAACCCAGGTGGGTGCGGTGCCGCAGATAAGCCCGGAACGATCCCTGTTGCTCGGCCGAGGGCTCCGGCCGGAGCGTCCCGGAAAACGCAGCCCTGGAGTCTCCTCTGCCTGCAGAGCTCGGGAACGGGAGGGCCCCGAGCGGGGTTTGGGTTTCGGGGTGATTAATGCGGGGCTGACTCAGGCACTCGGGGGTTCCTCCCTGTTTGGAGACAGTTGTGTTCCTGCTGCCTTCTCCGAAATGAGGAGGATCGTGGAATGTCCTGAGCTGGAGGGACCCACAAGGGTCGTCGAGTCCAATCCCTGCCCGGGACACCCCAAAATCCCACCCTGTGCCTGAGGGTGTTATCCAAACGCTCCCTGAGCTCTAAAATCATGGAATATCCTGAGTTGGAAGGAACCCACAAGGGTCATCGAGTCCAAGTCCTGGCCCTGCTCAGGACACCCCAAAATCCCACCCTGTCCCTGTTGTCCCAACACTCCTGGAGCTCTGGCGGCCTTGGAGCCGTGACCGATCCCTGGGGAGCCTGTTCCCAGTGCCCGACCACCCTCTGGATGAAAAACCTCTCCCAAATATCCAGCCTGCCCCTCCCCTGGCTCAGCTTCCCGAGTGGATGTTCGGGGACGGGCAGAGCCGGTGATTCATGTGCACAACTCTCCAGGGGAAGGAAAATCCGTGTCATTTTTCGGCACCTCCGGAGGCTCCGGGCCGGGTTTGCCCATCCCTGTGGGACCAAAGCCAGGCCTGACTTGAGATTTCCAGGCTCTGGGTTAGGGAAGGAGCAGGAACATCTGTGGGGTGGGATCAGCGGGTTCTCATCCCTCGGGCTGTGTTTTTCCTGCCTTTTTTTTTTTTTTTATGGACGAGTCAACCATGGAATGGTTTGGATGGGAAGGGAACTGTTTGAAGCTCCTCTGGTTCCACCCCCTGCCATGGGCTGGGTCCTCTCCCGCTGGAGCAAAACCCTGTTGATTCCCAGGTGTAAAATCCGGGGCTGGGGGTGAAATATCCTTACCTTTACCTGCTGCTCGTGCTCGGCTCCTCAGGGACCGGGAAGCTGCAGCTTTGGGAATGGATTCTTCCTGCTGGAATCCACACCGGAGGCTTGTCAGGTCTTGCTCCCAGCACGGCCCTGGGTGTCAAAGAAACGTGAGGAACCTCAAACAGCTTTTTCTATACAGTTTTTCCACCCAATTTGGGGATTTTTGGGGCTGCAGCCTCGTTCCAGAGCTGGCTGGGAAGAAGGGAGTCGCTTCCCTCGCTGCACAGGTGACTTTAAACCAGAAAACAGAAGGTTTAGGGCAGATATTGGGGAGAAATGCCCCCCTGAGAGGGTGGGGAGGGGCTGGGATGGAATTCCCAGAGAAGCTGTGGCTGCTCCACCCCTGGAAGTGTCCAAGGCCAGGTTGGACGGGGCTTGGAGCAACCTGAGCCATGGAAGGTGTCCCTGCCCGTGGGACAGGATGAGCTTTAAGGTCCCTTCCCACCCGGCCCATTCCACGATTCCATGATCCCACGCAGTCCATGTGGTCCCAAAATGTCCTGGATGGCCCAGCTCTTGCAGAGATCCGCCCCCCTGGCTGTGTGTCCTCATTTATTGCTGCTGTTCACTCTCCAGGGCTGAGGGGCCGTTCCATCCCTCTCTTTGCCTCGGGCAGCGTTTGGGAAGCCCCCACCTGTTCAGGAAGGACCAGCACATGGGGCAGTGTCTGGAAGCAGCCGTGGCTTCTGTTGGGCTTTAAGCAGCAAAACTGCCCAGGAAGGCTGAGCTTTGGTGCTCCCAGAGCATTCCTGGGGCAGCAGCAGCTGTGGAGCCTCAGCCTCCATGGGGGGGGGGGAATGTTTAGGAACTGGCTGATAAACCCTCTTTGTTTTCACATTTCTGAAGCATCACGTCTGGGACAACCACAACAGTTTAGTCTGTCCCGTGGGCCGGGCCGGGACATTCCCTTATCGGATCTGGCAGATCCAACCTCCTCCCAGGAGCCTTCCAGGTCCTGCTGCCTCCTCAGGGTGACTCTGGGGGCAGCCGAGGGCTCTGGGGACAGCTGAGGACTTTCCTGTTGCTCCTGTGGTTGTTCCTGGGTGTTCCCAGCTCCTCCCTGTGGTTGTTCCTGGGTGTTCCAAGCTCTCCTATCCATGCTGTGGTTGTTCCTGAATGTTCCAAGCTCCTCCCTGTCCCATCCCTCCTGTGGTTGTTCCAGAGTGTTCCAAGCTCTCTCCCATCCATCCTGTGGTTGTTCCTGGCTGTTCCAGGCCCCACCCCTGCCAAGAGCCCTCCTGCAGGGCTCTGCCCCCCCGGCCGTGTCCCCCTGAGGTGTCCCCAACCCTCCTGTCCCCCCCAGGGCCGCCGCCATGAGGCACTGCTTCTACAACGAGACCGTGGGCTTCTTCTACAACAACTCCCGCAAGGAGCTGACCACGTACTGGCGCACCAAGGACGTGCTGGTGGTGGCCCTGGGCCTGACCGTGAGCGTCATCGTGCTGCTGACCAACCTGCTGGTCATCACGGCCATCGTCATCAACCGCCGCTTCCACTACCCCATCTACTACCTGCTGGGCAACCTGGCGGCCGCCGACCTGTTCGCGGGCATCGCCTACATGTTCCTCATGTTCCACACGGGCCCCCGCACGGCCGAGCTGTCCCTCAAGACCTGGTTCATCCGGCAGAGCCTGCTGGACACCAGCCTGACGGCCTCGGTGGTGAACCTGCTGGCCATCGCCGTGGAGCGGCACCAGACGGTGTTCACCATGCAGCTGCACAGCAAGATGTCCAACCAGCGCGTCACCATCCTCATCTTCTGCATCTGGGTCACGGCGCTGCTGCTGGGGCTCATCCCCTCCTACGGCTGGCACTGCCTCTGCGCCCTGGACAAGTGCTCCAGCATGGCCCCCCTCTACAGCAGGAGCTACCTGACCTTCTGGGCCATCTCCAACCTCGTCATCTTCCTCATCATGGTGGTGGTGTACACGCACATCTTCATCTACGTCAAGAGGAAGATGACCAGGATGTCCAAGCACACCAGCTTCCACCCCCGCTACAAGGAGACCATGATCAGCCTGGTCAAGACGGTCACCATCATCCTGAGTGAGTCCACGGGCTCTGAGCAGTCCAAAGGATGCTCTGGTCCCCCGCCCTGGGCTCTGTGGGGTGGGGAGGTGACATTCCCTGGTGTCTGGAGCTGTGGAGTGGTGGTTTGGGTGGTGGTTTGGGTCGGGTTCTGAGGAACTCGACAGTTTCAGGATGTGGATTTACTTAGTCTGTGTGCTCAGCTCAATCCAAGCGATGTTTTAATCCTCCCCCCGGGCCCTGTGGGGTGGGGAGGTGACAACAGGGAAGTGAGGGAAGTGAGGTTCTGCTTCTCTGGTGTCTGGAGCTGTGGGGTGGTGGTTTGGGTGGTGATTTGGGTTGGGCTGAAGAGGAACCCAAGAGTTTCAGGACCTGAGTGAGTCCGTGTGCTCAGCTCAGTGCAGATGATGCTTTGATGCCCTGCCCTGGGCTCTGTGGGGTGGGGAGGTGACAACAGGGAAGTGAGGGAAGTGACATGCTGTTCCCTGGTGTCTGGGCTGTGGGGTTGTGGGCTGGGTGGTGGTTTGGGTTGGGTGCTGAGGAACTCAACAGTTTCAGGACGTGGATTTACTGAGTCCGTGTGCTCAGCTCAGTCCAGATGACACTTTAATGCCCCACCCTGGGCTCTGTGGGGTGGGGAGGTGACAGCAGGGAGGGCTGGGAGGTGACATTCCCTGCTCTCTGGAGCTGTGGGGTGACTTTTTTCACAAGATTCCTGTGATTCCATTGATTTCCCCCTGATTTCCCCCCGATTCTTCCCCGACTTTCCCCTGTTTTCCCCCTGATTTCCCCCAACTTCCCCCTCCTTTTCCCCCCGTTTTTCCCCGGATTACCTCTCTCCCAGGTGCCTTTGTGATCTGCTGGACCCCCGGGCAGGTCGTGCTGCTCCTGGACGGGCTGGGCTGCAAGAGCTGCAACGTGCTGGCGGTGGAGAAGTACGTGCTGCTGCTGGCCGAGATCAACTCCCTCATCAACGCCATCGTCTACTCGTACCGCGACACGGAGATGAGGAGCACCTTCCGCCGCATCCTGTGCTTCCCGTGCCCCCGCAACTCCAAGTACACGCCCACCGTGGTCAAGCTGAACACGGCCGACCGCGGCACCCTCTCGCACAACGGCCACTTCACCGTCGACTCCTCCATCTAGCCCCGAGTCCCGGGGCTGTCCCGCTCCGCAGTGGGCCGGGCCGGGCTCTCCGGCATCCCAAAAGCTCCGGCACGGACGGTTCCCCCGGGAAGACTCGCTGAGGATGAAGGACGAGGTGGTTTCACGGACCTCGGAGGGGGATTCTCATTAAAGACTCTTTTTAACGAGGGGTTGAGTCGGTGTGGCGGCGTCCGGAGGTGCGGGACGGGAATTTCTCTCGGCAAGCAAAGTATTTCCTCGGTCCTTCAGTATTATCCCTCGGGAAAGGCCCTTCCCAAGCTCCGGGCAGCCAAAACTCTCTGGGTTCACCTGTCACTCAGAGCCTGACCCGGGCTGTGTCCCACCTGCTTCCCAAAGCTGGTTATCCCTCTAAGCCTCCTCTGAGGGGAATCCCTGCAAATTGCTTCCTGAGAAGCAGATCCCTGCTTTCCCAAGTGGGTTTTTTAATTGGATTTCGGAGTGTTCCAGGCTTCGGGAGGATGTTTGGGAGCACGGAATTCCTTGCTGAGCTGGAGAGGGGCTGAGGAGCTGCAGTTGTGTTTGTGCTCTGCTAAGTGATACCATGTGCTCACGGGTGTGGAGTGAGTCATGTTCCCATTAAACCAGCCCTCTGCTCCCTGGAAATCCCTCTGGGGCAGCTCGAGGTCACATTCCGAGGCAGTCAGGATTTTTAACGTGCAGTTTTTGTACCTTAACGCTCAAACAACGCCTCGAATCTGCCCCAGGCCCGTTCTTCTCCCTGCAGAGAAACTGGGAATCTTCGTTAATGGCAACCCCTCTCCTGGGATGTGAACGGTCGGTGTCGGTTCTGGGGCTGTGTCTGGAGGGGAGAACATCCAGGATATTCTCAGAAACTGGGAATAATCCTCCAGCTTTCCTTCCCTTTCACATGGTTAAACTCCAGCCGCTGTGGATGTGCCGGTGTGAAATGCAGGGGGAGTTGTTTTCCACGAGGCGCCGGAATATCATCTAAATTTATAATTTCAGGGTGTTTTCTTTAATCAAACATCCTGGTTTTGTCCGAGGATCAGCCCCCAGAGCGGCCACTTGAGGAGAACACGACTTTCTGGAGGGTTTCTTTGTTGCAGAGCAGAGTCAGGCAGGGGCTGCGGGGAGGTGACAGGTCTCCTGGACTGACTCGAAGCCTTGGAATGTCCTTCCCACCTCTGTGTCCCAGAGAGTCCTGGAATAAATGGTTTTGCCCTGGGTTTTAGAAAAGAAAGAGTTGGATGTGGAGAACTGGAATGAAATATGGGTGGGACTGGGGTGGAGGGGGATGGGACCCCACGGGGGGGTTTGATGGGACCCCAAGGGGGGTTTGATGGGACCCCGGGGAGGGGTGATGGGAGGGGCCTAACAGGTAAGTGGGTGTGGCCACAGGTGAGGGGGTGATGGGCGGAGCAGTGGGCGGGGCATGACCGGTGATGTGGGCGTGGGCACTGAGGAGTGGGTGTGGTCCATGGGGACAGTGGGGGGTCCTTACCGGGGATGGGCGTGACCCTTCGGCAGTGGGCGGGGACTGACGGAGAATGTGGGCGTGTCCCGCGTGGGTATCGGGGGCGCGGCCAGTGCTGGGCGTGTCCCTTGCTGACACAGGAGAGGGCGTGTCCACCGGTGGGCGTGTCCCTGTCGACACAGGAGAGGGCGTGTCCACCGGTGGGCGTGTCCCTTGCTGACACAAGAGGGCGTGTCCACCGGTGGGCGTGTCCCTGTCGACACAGGAGAGGGCGTGTCCACCGGTGGGCGTGTCCCGCGGCGGCGGCTGCGGGCGGGGGGCGGGGGGGGTCGGTGGTCGCCGCTCGGTCGCCGCTCGGTCGCCGCCGGGCCCTGTCGCGCCGGGGCCGCGGCGCCGGGCCCGGCCCCGCCCGCCATGGAGGACCCGTCGCGGCTGCTCGGGGTGACCCTCCCGCCGCCTCCTCCTCCTCCTCCTCCTCCTCCCGCCGCCGCCGCGGAGCCGCCCGCGCCGGGGCCGCACGACACGGGCGATGTCCTGCAGCAGATCATGGCCATCACCGACCAGAGCCTGGACGAGGCCCAGGCCAGGTACCGGGGGCGGGGAGGGGGCTCCGGCCCCGGCCGTGACTCAGCGCGGGGGGCCCCGCGGAGAGACCACCCTGGCAGGGAGCAGGGGGATTTCCCGCTATTCCCGGTGTTCCCGCTATTCCCAGGGCGGGGGGATGCTCCCGCCGCTCACCGCGAATTCCCCGGTAACGGCGTCCGAGGAGCTGCCCCCGGGGGGTGTCAACATTCCCGGTGGGAATGGGGTTGTGCCCCCTGACACCGCTGGGAATGGGGGGAAACCCACTGGGAATAGGGGGAAACCCACTAGAAATGGGGGGAAAACACTGGGAATGGGAGCAAAATCCACTGGAAATGGGGGAAAACCACTCGGAATGAGGGGAAACCACTGGGAATGGGGGAAAACCACTGGGAATGAGGGGAAACCACTGGGAATGGGGAAAAGCCACCGGGAACAGGGAATCTGGAGGTGTTGGGGGGTGAAGTTTGACCAGGAAGGGGTGGGGGGGCTGCAGACCCCCAGGTTTGGGGACATAGGGGGGATCCTTCATCCCTCACCCTCACCTGGAATTCCTCAATTTAACGGGAAAACCGCCCCCGGACGTCACCACCGGCCTGGCAAGGAGCGGGATCGGTGGGTTCTGCAGCCCCTGGCTGGAACCAGCTAATTACCTCCCCCTAATTAGCGGCTCTTCCACAAGGGAGGTGGTTTGGATCCCACCAAAAGGGGCTTTTGGGCCTATTCCCCCCCATCCCTGTGCTTTTCCCGTGGTTGGGTGTTGGGGGCTGTCCCAGCGTGATAAAACCGCCCGTTTTCATTAATCTGCCCCCAAAGTTTGGCCAGTTTTGGGTGTGCCGGTCGCTATCACCAAATTCCAGGGGATTGGATGGATTCACGTGAACATGAGGAGAAGCTTTGCCCTCTAAACCCTCCTAATTTGGGTTGAAACGTGGCTCTTTGGGTTCATTTCCAAGTGTGGCTCCGTGGGGCGGCGGAACCCGAGCGGGGCACGTGTGGAACTGTCACTTTTCCCCCAAAACCTGACTTTTTTTGTCTCTTTCCTGGTGTTGTTCTCACCTGCAGCTCCCCTGGGGCATTCCAGAGGCGTGGAATATTGAGGACAATTATTGCTATTTAAGACCATTCTGAGCTTGTTGGGAGTTTTAGTTTCCAGTAGGTTGAAGGCTCAGCTTTGGTTGTTCAACCAAATCCCTTCGATATTGACCCAAAACCGCCCTCCCGCTCCAGCTGGGCCCCAAATGTTACAGCCCTTCTGGTGCATTTTCGTGGGAATTCACGGAAATACGTGGAAAAATCAGGTTTTTTGTTTTGTGGGCAGGAAGTTGGTTGGGTTTGGTGAGTTTTTACCCCGAGACGAGCCGGGTCGATGCTGCTGCGCTGCCACATTTGTGGGGAATTCAATATTTCACACTGAAAATGTGGGTTTCGGGTGTTATTTTAACCCCTGGCGGATTTCGGGGGTCCCACGCCGGGGATTTGGAAGATCCAAGCTGGAAACTTGCCCGGGAGTCGGGCTGGGCAGGGATCGGAGCCGGCGGGGCCGAGCCTCCCGCGTGACGCCGCCGCCGCGGCCGCGGTGATTAATTATTAATTACCGCCGGGTTTTGGACCCCAACGCCGCTTGTTTCCACCCGGGGGCCGGGAATTCTCCCCGCGCTTCCCGGTTCTCCCCGCTCGGCCGAGGACAATGGGCTCCCTCCCGGAGCTCCCGAGCCTTTGTTCTCTCCCCGCCGGGCTCGGGGGGGCCGCGCTCAGCCCGGATTTGGGGGGAAATCCCGCGGTTTGGGGCTCGCCGGAGGGGCCGGAGCAGCCTCCGGGATGGGGGCGGGAGGAGAGCCTGGATTCGGGCCCTTCCCGGGGCCGAACGCTCGGGCTTGGGTCAGAAAGACGCCGAAAGCCAGGGACTGGAATCGCGTTTGTGGTTCCAAAGGGGGCTCGGCAGCGGCCGAAGGGACCCCTCGAGGTGGGTGTCGCATCCGGGGGGTCCCTCCCGCCCCTTTCGCAGGGAAGGTGACCCCGAAAACGCTGGAAAACGGTGTTCTATACAAAAAAATGTGGTGAAACTGAGCTAGAAATCTGATTTAAATATTAGTTCTGGATTGGAAAAGGGCTCAGGAGCAGCACAAGAGACTTTCTGAGGTGTGCTCCATCCAGGGGGGTTTTCCCGTTGTTTTCTGCTGAGAGTTGGCCCCAAATTACAAACTTATTCACAAATACACCTATAAACATACCTATCTATTAAAATATATTAAATATACATTTAAAATTGCACTTTTTATAGCACCAAAGGCACGTGGTGGTTCCCAAAACTGGCCCAAACTTGGAATTTTTAAAGGCTGTGTGTTTTCAGCCCGGTTCACTCCTGAGGAAATGAACTTTACTGACAGAAGTCACCAGGATTTTCCCATCCCTTCCTTCACTTCCCTCACTGACCTGCCATCCCCGAGGTTTTCTTGGCTTTTGTCCGTGGATTTGGGCTCATTTTTCCTCCTTTTTTTCCCCCAGGAAACACGCCCTGAACTGCCACAGGATGAAACCAGCCCTGTTCAGTGTCCTGTGTGAGATCAAGGAGAAAACAGGTGCGTGGGTGCCCTTTTTTAGCCTCATTTTGCCCCAAAATCCCACGTTCTGTCCCTAATTTTCCTCCCATTTAACCCGCTCCCTGTTTTCCCTCAGGGATTTCACAAAACAAAGATTTTTTTTGATTTTTTTTTGGCTTAATGGTCTTTTTTAAGGGTTTTTTTGTTGTTGATTTTTAGGCTCTTGCATGGGGGGGAAACAAAGTGTTTGGGTTGTTTTTATGTGAAAAATCCATAATTTGGGGTTTGTTCCTTTTGGGGCTTTTTTGCTGGATCTCTCCAAAATCCAGAATAATGCTGCCATGGATTTATTTTTGGGGTTTTTTTTCTCTTGAAGGAATTGGGGCCAAAATTGTGGTAGGAAGAGACAAAGGTCGATAATTAATGGGTTTAGGGAGGAAAGGGGGATTTGGGAACACTGGAAAATACAGATTCAGTGGGAAATCGGGTTGGGTCTTGGAGGAAATCGGCCCTAACAGGTCAGGTTTTGGTTCATTCCTGGCCCTAAAACAGCAGTTTGATTTATTTCTGGCCCCGATACATCAAATTTTAGTTCATTTCTGGCTGAAATATGTCAGGTTTTGGTTCATTTCTGCCCCAAAATAATCAGGTTTTCATTTATTCTTGCCCAAATATGCCAGTTTTTGGCTCATTCTCCCCCTGCCGAGGCCGTTTTGGTTCCCACCGGGGGGGGTTTCCACCCCCACCCCCCATTTCTCCCCCTTTCCTGCCTTTCTTGCTCCTGGAAAAGGGAAAACGTGGAGCAGGAGCCTCGGTCTGGTCCCAGCCAGCTCCCTAATTAATGAGATGCAAAGGCACTGATTGCATTTGCATACCCGGCGAGGCCGCGGCCCCTTCGCCTGGGCCGTGCTTTAATTACAGGTTAATTAGAAATGATGGGGAATTTCATTTTCCTCCCTCTTAATTATTGCCATCCTTGACGAGCATCGGCCCACGGGGGGGTTTCCTTAAAATTCCATAAAAAGGATGGACTGGGGAGGGGTTTTAGGGGTCCAGGCCTGAAGGATTTGGCACAAGGGTTTAGTAACAGTCCCTGACTGTGTCAGATTTGGTGGTTTTCTGTAAATAAATTCACTGAATTGGTAGTTTGGAGTGAAAAAAATCACTTCTCAGTTTATTAATTAAAAGTTGGAATTATTAGGCTGGGAGTGCCATTAATGATCCGGGGGGGGTGGGAACCCCTTCCCAGTTCCTCGGGACTTACTGGAACCAGTGCCTGGCTTTTCACCCCCTTCCCAGCCCCACCCTGACGTGTAATTGATGATAACTAATGGCTAATTAGCATAATTAGCATAATTAGACAAGCGACATCCAATTAAGCTGCAGCTGGAGCTGCAGAGGAGCTTCAGGAGGGGTTTGGCTGCAGGTTCAGATGAGGAGGTGACACCAAAAAAACCAGAATTCCCACCAAATTTCTCAAATTAAATAGAATTTTAGTTCCATAACGAGGCAGAAAAGCCACAAATTTTTGAAATAATCAACTCACCTCGGAGCCACCCCGGAGCCTCCTTCTGTTTTGGGAATTCCCATTTCCTCCCCTTCCCGTGCCCTGCAGTGCTGAGTTCCCTAATTCCCACTTTATCCCAACCCCCTTCCCATCTCTCTGTCCCCACAGTGTTGAGTATCCCAAATCCCACTTCATCCCAATTCCCCTTTTATCCCAACTCCCTCTCCTGTCTCTCTGTCCCTGCAGTGCTGAGTATCCCAACTCCCATTTTATCCCAATTCCCCTTTTATCCCAACTCCCTCTCCTGTCTCTCTGTCCCTGCAGTGCTGAGTATCCCAACTCCCATTTTATCCCAATTCCCCTTTTATCCCTGCAGTGCTGAGTATCCCAACTCCCATTTTATCCCAACTCCCATTTTATCCCTGCAGTGCTGAGTATCCCAACTCCCATTTTATCCCAATTCCCCTTTTATCCCAACTCCCTCTCCCGTCTCTCTGTCCCTGCAGTGCTGAGTATCCCAACTCCTGTTTTTTTATCCCTGCAGTGCTGAGTATCCCAACTCCCATTTTATCCCCACAGTGCTGAGTATCCCAACTCCCATTTTATCCCAACTCCCATTTTATCCCAATTCCCATTTTATCCCAACTCCCTCTCCCGTCTGTCCCCGCAGTGCTTATCCCAACTCCCATTTTATCCCTGCAGTGCTGAGTGTCCCAACTCCCATTTTATCCCCACAGTGCTGAGTATCCCAACTCCCATTTTATCCCAACTCCCATTTTATCCCCACAGTGCTGAGTATCCCAACTCCCATTTTATCCCTGCAGTGCTGAGTATCCCAACTCCTGTTTTTTTGTCCCCGCAGTGCTGAGTATCCCAACTCCTGGTTTTTTGTCCCCGCAGTGCTGAGTATCCCAACTCCTGGTTTTTTGTCCCCGCAGTGCTGAGTATCCGCGGTATCCAGGAGGAGGACCCGCCGGATGCTCAGCTCATGAGGCTCGATAACATGCTGCTGGCAGAGGGGGTGTCCGGGCCGGAGAAAAGAGGCCGAGGAGGAGGAGGAGGAGGAGGAGGAGGAGGAGGAGGAGGAGGAGGAGGAGGAGTTGGAGCGCTGGCGGGAGCAGCGGCATCAGGTGGCTGTCCCAATGACAATAGCATTGAGCACTCTGACTACAGGGCCAAGCTGTCCCAGATCCGACAGATTTACCACTCTGAGCTAGAGAAATATGAACAGGTGATCTTTCTGCATGGAAGAGTTTTTATCCTCCCAACCCAAATGACCCTTTGTCCCCTCCCCTCCCCTCCCCCTTTGCCGTGGGCTCTGAGGCCAGGACAGGGACAGGCTGGACTCTGGAAAGGCCGAGCTGGAGGGAGTGCACCTCAAATAGAGAGCAGGGCCGGCTCGTACCTGTGTGGAGTTTTGTAAAAGAGTAAAATCCAGCTGAAGAGACTCCTCTGGAGCTTTGGGGGGGCTCTGGCGCCGGGGCAGCGAGTGCAGGGGCTGCCGCCACAAATCCCTGTGTCCCCAGGCCTGCAGCGAGTTCACCACGCACGTGATGAACCTGCTGCGGGAGCAGAGCCGGACCAGGCCCATCTCCCCCAAGGAGATCGAGCGCATGGTGAGCATCATCCACGGCAAGTTCAGCACCATCCAGATGCAGCTGAAGCAGAGCACCTGCGAGGCCGTCATGATCCTGCGCTCCCGCTTCCTGGACGCCAGGTACGGCCCCGGGCCCTGTGGGCAGAGATTGGGAGTCTGGGATAGAAATGGACTCATTCCACAGTGTAACTGCTGGGCAGAGATTGGGAATCTGGGACACAAATGGACTCATTCCACAGTGTAACTGCTGGGGAGAGATTGGGAATCTGGGATAGAAATGGACTCATTCCACAGTGTAACTGCTGGGGAGATTGGGAATCTGGGACACAAATGGACTCATTCCACAGTGTAACTGCTGGGGAGAGATTGGGAATCTGGGATACAAATGGACTCATTCCACAGTGTAACTGCTGGGGCAGGGCCACGGTCCCAGTCCCTGTGGGCAGAGATTGGGAATCTGGGATACAAATGGACTCATTCCACAGTGTAACTGCTGGGGAGATTGGGAATCTGGGATACAAATGGACTCATTCCACAGTGTAACTGCTGGGGAGATTGGGAATCTGGGATACAAATGGACTCATTCCACAGTGTAACTGCTGGGGCAGGGCCACAGTCCCAGTCCCCGTGGGCAGAGATTGGGAATCTGGGATAGAAATGGACTCATTCCACAGTGTAACTGCTGGGGAGATTGGGAATCTGGGATACAAATGGATTCATTCCACAGTGTAACTGCTGGGGAGATTGGGAATCTGGGATACAAATGGACTCATTCCACAGTGTAACTGCTGGGGAGATTGGGGATCTGGGACACAAATGGACTCATTCCACAGTGTAACTGCTGGGGCAGGGCCACGGTCCCTGTGGGCAGAGATTGGGAATCTGGGATACAAATGGACTCATTCCACAGTGTAACTGCTGGGGCAGGGCCACGGTCCCTGTGGGCAGAGATTGGGAGTCTGGGACACAAATGGACTCATTCCATTTGTAGGGCCACGGTCCCTGTGGGCAGAGATTGGGAGTCTGGGATAGAAATGGACTCATTCCACAGTGTAACTGCTGGGGAGATTGGGAATCTGGGATACAAATGGACTCATTCCACAGTGTAACTGCTGGGGCAGGGCCACGGTCCCTGTGGGCAGAGATGGTATTTTGGCGTGAATAAATTTAATTTTAGTTCAATTAACAAAAACTTCATCCCCTCAATCCCCCCGTTCTCCTTCCGACCAAACGTATTTCAGAGGGAAGAAAGGCCACCAGACACCCCAGCCGGTCCCTGGAAAACACCATTCAATAGAAATGACTCATTTGTTCTGTGGTTTTTTAGGCGTAAACGGCGCAATTTCAGCAAACAGGCCACGGAAGTGCTGAATGAGTATTTTTACTCACACCTGAGCAACCCCTACCCCAGTGAAGAGGCCAAAGAGGAGCTCGCCAAGAAAGGGGGCATCACTGTGTCCCAGGTGGGAGCAGCTTTCCCCGAATGCAAGGCACCTTTTTTCCCCCTCAGACAGTAATTTGATCATTTTTTATCATTTTTTAGCAACAGGTTTCAGTTATTGGCCCTTAAACTGAGCCAGGCTCCAGTTTAAACAGGGTTTAATCTTGGTTATTTCTCATTGAAGCCTCATTTCAAACCCCCCCTTCCCTGGAAAATCCCAAATGTTGTGGAAAAGGGACTGTTTTGCCCCAGTGCTCAGCCCAGGCTGTGTCTCTGCCAGGTTTCCAACTGGTTTGGGAACAAAAGAATCCGCTACAAGAAGAACATGGGGAAGTTCCAGGAAGAAGCCAATATTTACGCTGCCAAAACCGCCGTGGACGCGACCAACGTGGTGGCCCAGGGCAACCAGGGCAACTCCCCCTCGACGCCGAACTCGGGTGAGCCAGGGCTGCCAAATCCCACTTATCCCTCCTGAGAACCCCACTTATCCCTCCTGAGAACCCCAGTTATCCCTCCTGAGAATCCCAGTTATCCCTCCTGAGAATCCCAATTATCCCTCCTGAGAATCCCAGTTATCCCTCCTGAGAACCCCAATTATCCCTCCTGAGAATCCCAGTTATCCCTCCTGAGAACCCCAATTATCCCTCCTGAGAACCCCACTTATCCCTCCTGAGAACCCCAATTATCCCTCCTGAGAATCCCAGTTATCCCTCCTGAGAATCCCAGTTATCCCTCCTGAGAATCCCAGTTATTCCTCCTGAGAACCCCACTTATCCCTCCTGAGAACCCCACTTATCCCTCCTGAGAATCCCAGTTATCCCTCCTGAGAACCCCACTTATCCCTCCTGAGAATCCCAGTTATCCCTCCTGAGAACCCCACTTATTCCTCCTGAGAACCCCACTTATCCCTCCTGAGAACCCCAGTTATCCCTCCTGAGAACCCCAGTTATCCCTCCTGAGAACCCCACTTATCCCTCCTGAGAACCCCACTTATCCCTCCTGAGAACCCCAGTTATCCCTCCTGAGAACCCCAATTATCCCTCCTGAGAACCCCAATTATCCCTCCTGAGAACCCCAATTATCCCTCCTGAGAACCCCAATTATCCCTCCTGAGAATCCCAGTTATCCCTCCTGAGAACCCCAATTATCCCTCCTGAGAATCCCAGTTATCCCTCCTGAGAATCCCAGTTTATCCCTCCTGAGAACCCCACTTATCCCTCCTGAGAATCCCACTTATCCCTCCTGAGAATCCCAGTTTATCCCTCCTGAGAACCCCAGTTATCCCTCCTGAGAACCCCACTTATCCCTCCTGAGAATCCCACTTATCCCTCCTGAGAATCAACAACGTGGAATTCTGCCCCTTGACACCACAGTGGGATTTGTTTTTCTCTCCAACTCACGTGGGACTCGTTGAAGAACCGTTTTTGGTGGGTTGGTTGCTCATTAAAACTGATTTATTTTTTTTTAATAAAAATTCCTTTATTTGTTTTTTTTTTTCCCAGCTTCCTCTGGCTCTTTTAAGATGACCAGTTCTGGGGATTCCTTTATAAACCTGCAGTCACTGACCTCCTACCAGAGCTCTCCTGTGGGAGCCAATGTGCAGTCCCAGGTCAGTAAGGGAAACAAAAATAGGGACTTTCAGCATGGAGAAAAATGGGAAAATCCCAGATTTCTGTCCTTGATTCGGGATGAATCGAGTCATTCATGTAAAATTAACTGAGACCCAAATTAACAGCTCAGTTGCCAGCAAAACCAGAGAGTTCTTCTGGAAATTCTTATGGAAATTCTAATTCTTGTTCTTAAATCCTTACTCTCCCTTAAAGCCTCAACTTGAAATCCTTCATGAAATTCTTGTTCTCAAGTTCTTCATCTAAAATTCTTCTAAAATTCCTCTCACTGAAACCCTCACTTAAAGTTACCACTGAAGTTCTTCCTTCTTTTTTTTCTTATTTAAATCCTACATGTTACTTAAATTATTATTCCCGTTGAAATTCTCACTGAAAATAACCCCGTTTAAAGACCCTTTTTCCCCCTTTTCTGCCCCGATCTGCTGGGATTTTAGATGGATTCCCTGCACCACGTCCTCCACCAGACGGGCAGGTACGACCCGCTCGTGGGGAACCCCCTGTACACGACGCAGCGCCTCGACGTAAGATGGGCTTTGTTCCCCAGCCCCCCGATCCTGCCCCACGTCTAAAGGAACTGGCTGTGAATTTTGTGTGTTTTAATGTCCCTGCAGGCCAACGGCAGCTGGCAGGACCCCACCACCCCCTCATCCATCACCTCACCCGCCGGAGACCCGGGCAGCGTCAACTCCGACGCCTCTAATTAAGTTTTTAGGACCTACTGATGAGAGGAGAGAGGTCATTAGTGTAATTAGTCAATGTTGCTCTTTTGCCAATATAATTGTTGACTCACAATTAATTAATTACCTCAGAACAAACCAATAGATTGTGATTGCAGCGACACCTCTACCTCTCACCGCCGAGTTCTTCACCCCATCGGGACCTGAAATTGTTTTAAAGCAACTTCATTTCCCTCACCAAATTCAGTTTTTTTTTAATAAAAAACTGTGGATTTTACGGTAAGAACCTGAAAAAAAAGAAGTGTCTCTTGGAACTTGGCGTTTTGTCTCCAGCTTTACAGCTGAAGAAAATCGATTTATTTTCATTTCTGTCAGGTTTTTTACGCTGGGATTTCCGTTCTAGGTGAATAGTTACTGACAGTTAAACCCCCGTATTGTAATTGTATGTTCTCTGTATTGTAATTTTGTATAGGAAATTCAGCTTTTCTTAACTGATTTAGCGAATGGAAAAAAAAAAAAAAAGAAAGAAAAAACCCCCGACCACCACAAACCAGCCGAACCATGGGATTTCCCCCTGGATACGAGGGGGGTTTGTGCATTTGCTGTTAACAGTCCGCCCCTTTCAGCTGAGATTTTATCAAAGATAATAAACTTCCAAAGCCTTTTTTTTTTCTTTTTTCCACCTTTTTTCCTGATTTTTTTCTCTTAGGTTTGAGGGGCTGGGGGGGGGGAGGCGGAGGTTTGTGAGGTGGGAAGACCGGGAGGGGCAGGAAAAGAGAGGGAAAGGCGTGAGGTGGGAAGAGCGTGAGGGGCAGGAAGGGCAGGAAAAGGGTGAGAAAGGCATGAGGGGTGGGAAGCGGCGGGAAGGGCGTGAGGTGGGAAGGGGCGGGAAGAGTGTGAGGGGAGGGAAAGGGCGGGAAGGGCGCGAGGGGCAGGAGGGGCGCGAGGCGGGAATGGCGGGAGGGGCGGGAAAGGCCTGAGGGGCGGGAAAAGGCGGGAAGTTCGAAGCGGGCTCCGCGCACGCGCCACAGAGAGCGGGCGACGCCAATCGGCCTCCGCGCACGCGCCGCGGGTGAGGGCAGCCGGCGCCGGGCGGGCCCCGCGCATGCGCGGGGCTGAGGGCGGGCGGCGCGTTCCCGCCATGGCGGAGCCGCCGGAGGCAGCGGCGGGATCCGGCCCGGCCGCCCCTCCGTCCCCGCGGGCCCCGGGCGGGCCGGACGGGGAGGTGAGCGCTGCAGGGGCTCGGCCCGGCCGGGGGGAGCCGCGGGGCGGCCGCGCTTCCAGCCCCGTAACGGTTTTTCCCCTCAGCGCTGCCCCGGCGGAGCCCGCCCAGAGCCCGGAGGGGCCGCGACAGGTAACGGGGTCAGAGGAGGGGGAAAGGAGGGGGCGCCGGCTCGGGGCCCTGGGTGGGAGTGCGGGGACGGGGTGGTTGGATGATGTAGGGGGCTGCGAAGTGGGGACCCCCCCCGGGGCCCCTCAGTGCTGTTGCCCCCATCCCCCTTTACTGTTGTTCCCTGATCTCCCCTCACCCCTGTTCCCTCCCCACGGTCCCCTCATCCCCCCTCACTCTCCTGCCCCTCCCAGTTAAAAATAAAAGCCCAAAGAACACGTTCAGCCCTCTGGACTCTTTGGGAAAACCCTTTCCTATCTCATAGAACCCTGGAAATCCCAAGTAGGAAGGGCCCCCACCAGCATCCCCAGTCACTTTTTACCCCTCTAATGTGCTGATTTTGCCTCTTTTTCCCTCAGATCCCAAGCCTGGAGCGAAGAAGGCGGGTGCTGAGCCCCTCCTGAAACCACCTGCTGGCCCGAAGCACCGCGGAATCCCCGGAGCGTCCGCCAGGAAGAGACCCCTGAGCACCCCCAGGCTGAGGCTGAGCCCCCTCAGGAGCAGCCCCCGGAGGACGAGGAGGAGCCCTGAGCAGGAGCAGAGCCTGAATTCCTTCAGTTTGTCCCCCCTCGTCGCCACCCCCCAGGGCAAACATCACTCCTGGTGCCGCTCCAACCTCAAGGGCAGCAAGGGCCACAAATCCCTGCCCCCCGTGCACCAGGACATCACTGGTGTGTGCCCACGGCCTCCTTAGGGCCTCACTGGGTTACTCCCAATTAAAACCTGCCCGTAGCCCCCTGGGAAGTGGCCTGGCAGGCCCTGGGATCTGAGGAGCAGTGGAGATGCTGCACTGAAGCTTCTGTTCAGGAGGATTTTGCAGCTCCTGCCTTTTTATTCCCCAAGTCCTGATCCTTAAATGTGACTTTTCCTCTTTCTTTTTCCCCTTTTTCTTTCTTTCTTTTTCCTCATTTTCTCCTTTTCTTTTTCCCATTTTTCTCCCTTTCTTCTCCCCTTTTTCTCCCTTTCTCTGTCTCCCTTTTCTCCCTTTCTTTCTCCCATTTTGCTCCCTTTACCCTGCTCCTTCCGTATCCTGCACCCCTCATTCCTGTCCAACAACAGCTTTTGGGAACTTTTGAGCTCATTCCAACCCTTTTCTGTGAATTTAATTATTCCTAACCAACTTTATTCTCATTTTTCAGAGCTAAGCAAGTCCATCAGCCTGGACCTGCCTGAGAGCGAGCGTCTCTCCATGCTCATCCTCTCCTGTTTCCAGGTATTTTTTTTTTTTTTTAGTGATTTATTTTCCCTTTTTCTCCCCAAATGCACGTTGGGTTCACATCACTGGCTCCTCAAACAGGGGGGATTCCTTTCTCCTCCCACAAACTTCGTTATAAACGGGGATAAAAGCTGACTTCCCTTTGTTGGGAGATGGGGATAAAAGCTGACCTTCCCT